AGGGAGAGTCTTTTCATGAAATCACAGTAAGGGAGGGAATAGATTTAGTATAGCCCAGAAATGGCAGTGGTTTAAGAACTTCCCTATAGTTGTGAAAATTTTAATCACTTCCTTGCTGAATTATATCTTCAGGGAAACCCATTGAAGATTCTTAAAACTGTAGAAAAAATCCCTAGACTGGTTTCAAATTTTCTTGGGGTACATGTGTATGTGTGTGACTCTTGGACATGGGTCTCATTGTTCATTTGGGTGTCACCAGCAAAACTGAGACTCCTGTTCTGTGACTCTGTTTATGCTTCTGATGGAATGATATAGTGGCCAAGCCCTGACACACCTGGTCATTGGGTCAGTATGGTTGTTTATCTAGATTTAGTTCACTTAATAAAAGTTTGATTAAGAGATTACTAGTTTTGTAAGTATTTATCCTTATTCTTCCATTATTGACATTTTTCAAATTGACCTGGAGTTGTGGAGTTTATGTATGCATACAGTAATTTGAAGTGCTCTGTGTGGTGCTAATTTATTTCTGTATTGGGATGAATATTTGAATGCTGCCTTTTTGCCCCTTTTTTGTATGCTTCTAGTGCTCCAAATCTACCTTCAGAAACAGCATTCAGTTTCTAATTACCTTGGAATCATTGGCATATTCTGCCGTACCATTTTAGTTTTATTTACTGCAAATGATGATTTGTTAGTTGTCCCCTGCCAGAATGTCTGAGCTCATTTGTTTAACTAAAGCAGTGCTGTGCATAGATGCCTGTAACAAGCAGCAACAGTTACCAACCACGTCAGTTGCTTGCCACCTAGTTTTAGCTCTAAATCAAGCAAATGGGAAAGAAGATTATTCTTAAAATGTTCCAAGAAGTTTAGAAAATTGGAGGATGGAGAGGTGGGTGGAAAGGAATTCTATTATAACAATCAGTATGTTGCTTTTGGCAGGAGTATGCCTGGCCGATTTCCTTTGTAGAAGTAAGTAAGGCTTCAGAGTGCAGAAATTGCAGGGACACTGCAGCAAACAGAGCTCTGTGAATCTTTTATTTGATAGGTAATTACCAAGTGTTTGTCTTCTGGCTGAGCCACAGCACCAGGCATGGTGGGGATGAATGGTAAATGAGACATTTTTTCTGTTCTCACAGTTTCTAATCTGGGCACTCCAGGTGCTTCTGACCTGAAGTGGTGATTATTTAGGAGGCAGTGACAGTAGTGCTGTTTCAGATCCTGGCCATGGGTAGGTGACCCTTCAAGCCTGATGGACCTAATCACAGAATGGCAGGTGCTGGCTGGCTGGCTTACCACCAGAGGGAGCTTTCCTTGAGAAGTGGGATCATTCCCAGCCTTTCCAGGTCTTTTCATCCTTAAATTACCAAAAAAAAAAAAAAAAAAATCAAACTGCTTCAAAAGATATATTATTTACAGTTGGAAAAAACATGAGTGTTTAAAAAAATTTTTAAATAAAAATTCAAACTTGGGGGCAGACCTTGCCTTGAGGGCTGGAGAGTATCGAGTGTTACTTGAGGAATGGGGGGAAATAATTAATATTGTCCTCTGGTAGTGAAATGTTTGACATTCACTCACCCAGTGCATTTTTATTAAGTGCCTGCTTCGTATTGGGCTGGGAACGCTATGATGAACAAGGAGCCCACAATCTAGGGGAGCTACAGACAGATCATTGGGCATTCTTGCTACCATGTGCTCAGTTTTATGGTTGGGTGCTTTTGGGGCAGAAACCAGACTTCTCACCTGGTCTTAGGTGATCAAAAATGATTTCCTGGAAGAGGTAATGTCCAGACCAACCTAACTAATACATGTAGAATTAATTCCCCTTTGAGGCTAATACTGTATTGGAAATCAATCAGAAACCTGTTTTGGAAACCTTTCTGTTGAGAACAAGTTGAGACACTGAACTCTGTATTCCAGCCATCTAGTATATTTCTCCAGGCTTATAGTTTGCCCTTCTCTAGTGTTGATTAATTTCCACTTCACAGAACATGCCAGGCTCTCTGTGACTGCCATGCCTTTGCATACACTATTCCTTATGTCTGGAAAGCCCTCTCCTTTGGTCTGCCCAACAGATTTCTTTTTCTTCTTCTGAACAGACAGTTACTTCCTTCAGGATGCCTTTCTTGACTACTCCTAAGGTAGGTTGGATGCACTTCCTATGAGCTCAGGCAAGTTGATTTTCATACCTCCCCTGCACTGAGTAGTCTGTCTGCTGCTTTATTCCTCCATGTAGCCTGGAGACAGAGGCAGCATCTTTCACAGAGCCCAGCATGTCCTGGGAATCTAGGTAATGTTTGTTGAATGAACACATTCAGAAGCTTTTGAAGGTTTTAGGCATGTGTATATAATTGAAGCTCTTGGTTCTAACCAGCTTTGAGAGTGTTATTGACTGAAGAAAGTAGAAGCACTGGTGAAACAGATTTTATGCATGTGGTCTAGTTATTAACCTCATAAAGCTCTTTACAGTCTTTTGCATTTTATACCTCTTTTTTTTTTTGGCCTGAGTAACCAATAAACCGAGTAATTCATAGTTCCCACTTCTTGCCAACTACTAATGTATATTATTAAATCTGACCACAGTGATTAATTTAGAACCTTTTGGTTATTAACAAAAATCATTTTGATTTAGCATATGCCAAAAAGAGGGGATTATACACAGGGGTGGTATCTAACAACACAAGACCAGAAACACAGGTAGGCGTAAGGAAGAACTGATCCCAAGAATTGGAAGGCCAGCAGGAATCCTGAGAGACCTTTCTGTTTATCGCTGCTTCTCTCTGCAAAGCTCTGTTATTAATTTTCTTACTAACCAGCTTTTTCTGCTGCTTAGTGGGTGGAGGGTGGCTTCCTATAACCCTTAGCTTTGCCTCCAAGTTCCAGCCATTGGAAAACCTGTCTTTCCATCTCAATTTCAAATTCCCCAAGACTCTGGAGTGGCTTACATTAGACGTCTATCCCTGACCCAGTCACCTATGGCCAGGAAGTGGGGTCATGCTGAACAAGCCTGTCTGCCTCTGCTCTGCTCGCCCCAGGGGGAGGTGGGAAGATAGAAGAAAGGGATGGGGGGACAGCAGACAGAGATGTTGTGAGGCGGGCAGACACTCTAAAAGTATCTAATACCTGTAAACACTTTACTGTAGGTTATTTGTTGATTATTTTGGCTAAGATTTTTTAAATCTTAGATGAAGTTTAAAGATTTAACTTTGAAAAAAATATTTATCTTTTTGAATATGAATATAATTTGAGATGGTTAAAGGAATGGCATATCTACTACATTAATTAGTGGGTCTTAGTTTTGTACGTCCATGTACAATGCTTTTTATACATGATACTTTCTTAATTGCTGGGAGATAAGTTCTAGAGCTCTAATAGAAATATGTGAGACATTCCATGTTATTGAAAGTTTTGAAAAAAGTGAAATTAATATTTTTGTTGTTTTTAATCCTCATTCAAGGATATTATTTTGATATTTTTAGGGAGAGTGGAAGGGAGGGAGGGAGTGTCGGGGGGGGGGAGAGAGAGAGGGAGAAAGGGAGAGAGAGAGAAAGAGAGAAAAAGAAACATTGATGTGAGAGAGACACATTGATTGGCTGCCTCCCATGTGCGTCCCGAATGGGGCGGAGGATTGAACCTGCAACCCAGGTATATGCCCTTGACCAGGAATTGAACCCATGACCCTTTTCAGTGCATGGGTCGATGCTCTTATCACTGAGCAACATCGGCCAGGGCAAGGTGAAATAAATTGTAATAATATATTTTATTTAATGCAATATATCCCAAATATAATTTAATGAACTTAAGGATTAATAATGAAGTAGTTTTTATTGTTCTTAATCTTTGAAATCTGGTGTGTATTTTCTATTTTAGCACATCTCAGTTTGGACTAGCCACAGTTCACATGACATGTGGTCAGTGGTTATCTAACTGGACAGCGTAGTTTTAAAGATGGCTAAAGCAATTCGTGTTCTTCCACAGTATCTCTGTTTTCTTGTCAGATGCCTTAAATGCTTATGGATCCTTTTTAAAAGTGTGCTTCTTCAGCGATAGCAATGAACCCTAGGATGGGGGCATTTTTTAGGTAGCCATGGAAGAGTTGCCTATTTGGAGGACATGTTGTGCCATGTGTATTAGAGGAAAAGAACCTGAAATTATTTTATTTTTCTACATTAAAAAATACGTTTTTATTGATTTTTAGAGAAAGAGGAAGGGAGAGGGAGAGAGTGATAGAAACATGGATCGGCTGCCTTCTGCATAACCCCCAATGGGGATCGAGCTCAAAATCCAGGCATGTGCCCTGATGAGTAATAGAACCAGCAACCTCTTGGTGCATGGGTTGACGCTCAACCACTGAGCCACATCTGCCAGGCAAGAACATAAAATTTTTAACCCAGTCACCAGACTCTAAAGCTAGTTCTTGTTCTTTCTATAGCTCTGATTTCCTGGAATATTCAACTCCTTGGAAGCTTCAATTTGCTTATCTATACTTTTTCCTTTCTTCCCCTGATTTCACATCTATTAGGATAGATGGGTGGTAGGGACCAAGGGAAGGGAGGAGAGAAAGGGAAGGAAGGCAACTCTTCTGTGGCTACTTTAAAAATCCCCATCTCCTGAAAATAATGGCATTTTTCTAAATAAGTGTATTCCGTGATCAGTACTGCCCTTTACAAATGGGCAGATGAGACCTCTGCCTTTTGGTCTGTACTTTGAAGTGCCTTTTTCAAATTTTCCTCAGTACCCCCAACCCACCCTTCCTCCCTGCCCCTATGCCTGAAGTGCAGGCTGCCCTGAGCGCTTCTCTTTTAGGAATCTCATATTGAGAATTATAGTAAATTTTCATTACATTGAAATTAGAAGCTTCATTTTATTGTGCTGATTTTATTGTTCACCATTATATATAATATTTTCCTTCTAAATTAGTTTTTTCTCTATTTTTATATATTCCTTTAGTAAGTGTGTACATATTTAGTGTTATAATTATTATCTCTCTTCTGTTTCTGCAGTACTGATTTGAAGCTCTTGGAGGAGGCAACTATTTCAGTCTGCAGGTCTTTAGGTAAGGGAGGAAATGAGCATGTGTGTGTGCATATATATGTATATGTGTGTGGGGGGCATTTATTTGAAATTTTTTGTTATAAATTTTGATAGTGTATTATGTGAATTAATGAAGTGATTTTTTTTGATGATAATAATAATAGTAATAATTACTTTATTCATGGTGCTTATTGATGCTAGTAGAATATACCATTTAGCCATTAGCAGTAAGACAAATGCTTGGTTAATTTGCATTAGTGGTAGTAGACTCTGCTAAGCTGTAGACTCTCAGGTTATTCTTTTTTGTGAATTTTGAAATGCAGAGATAGAACGATATTAAGTTAGTTTTGTAGTTACATGGACAGTAATAACTTGATTTTATGGTAAAGTGCATGGGCTCTGAAGTATTTTTATGATCTTCATTCCAGCTCTGCTACTTATTGGCTGAGCCTAAATTTCCTCATCTAAATTTCAGGGTTCTTGTGAAGAAAAAATGAGATGATACATGAAATATCCGGTATAATACCTAGTATTTTGTCATTATTCACCATTTATATCAACAAATATCACTTTGTTTCTCAAAATGATTTATTTTCAGGTTGGTAGCAATTGGAAAGGAATGTATATGCTTTCAAAAATGTAGATAATTATAGCTACATTGAGTTGTTGCTTTGAAATTAGAGATAAAGTGTTTGTAAATGCCAGGTGTAAGTGATAATGATACTGTGCTTTTAAATCAAGCTATATGGATAAGCTCCATGTAAGCTATATGGCTAACTCCCATATAAGTTACTTTGCCATAATCTTTGGTGAAATACTTTTTCTTTTAAAAACAAATTATGGCCCGGCCAATGTGGCTTAGTGGTTGAGCATCGACCCATGTACCAAGAGGTTGCCGGTTTGATTCCTGGTCCAGGTTGTGGGCATGTACTTCTTAATTCCTTCACCTTTTTCACCCATTCCCTCTAGTCCCCTGCCATCTGGCAACCAACAAAAAGTTCTCTGTATCTATGAGTCTGTTTCTGTTCTGCTTGCTCATTTTGTTTGTAGATTCAGTTGTTGATAGATATGTACTTTTTGCCATTTTATTGTTCATAATTTTATTCTTCTTCTTCAAGAAAAACCATCAACATTTCATATAATACTGGTTTGGTGGTGATGAACTCCTTTAGCTTTTTCTTGTCTAGGAAACTCTTTATATGTCCATCAATTCTAAATGATAGCTTTTCAGGACAGAGTAATCTTGGTTGTAGGTCGTTGCTTTTCATCACTTTGAATACCTCTTGCCACTCCTTTCTGGCCTGCAAAGTTTCTTTTAAGAAGTTAGCTGACAGTCTTATGGGAGCTCTGTTGTAGGTAACTAACTGCTTTTCTCTTGCTACTTTTTTTTTTTTTTAATCCTCACCTGAGGACATTTTTCCATTTTTTGTTCTGATAGAGTGGGAGGGAGAGAGAGAGAGAGAAATATCAATGTGAAAGGGACACATGGAGTGGCTGCCACCCACACGACCAACCAGGGCCAGGGACAAACTGCAACCCGAGGTACGTGCCCTTAGCAGGAACCAAACCCGGGTCTCTCTGGACCGCAGGCCGACACTCTAACCACTGAGCCAAACTGGCCAGGGTTCTTGCTACTTTTAAGATTCTCTCTTTGTCTTTAACCTTTTGCATTTTGATGATGACGTGTCTTGGTGTGGGCCTCTTGGGGCTCATCTTGTTTGGGACTCTCTGTGCTTCCTGTACTTGTATGTCTCTTTCCTTCACCACGTTGGGGATAATTTCTGTCATTATTTTTTCAAATAGATTTTCAGTTTTTTTGTTCTCTCTCTTCTCCTTCTGTCACCCCCATGATGCTATAATCTTGGTACGCTTCAAATTGTCCCAGAGGCTCCTTACACTATCGTCATTTTTTAGATTCTTTGTTCTGATTGGATGGTTTTTGCTTCTTTATATTCCATATGATTTTCTTCTTAGCTTCTTAGCTTTACCTACTCTACTACTGCTTCCCTGTAAATTATTCCTTATTTCAATTAGTACATCCTTCATTTCTGATTGTTCCTTTTTTATGCTCTTGAGGTTCTCACTAAGTTTCTTGACATTCTCAATTCCTTGAGCATCCTTTTTTTTTTTTTTTTTTCCTTTATTGATTTTAGAGAGAGAGGAAGGGAGGGAGATAGAAACATCAATGAGAGAGAACATCGATTGGTCGCCTCCTGCATGTCCCCTACTGGGGATTTGGCCCACAACCTGGGCATGTGCCCTGACCAGGAATCGAACTGGCGACCTCTTGGTGCGTGGGTTGACACATAACCCCTGGGCCACACTGGCTGAGCACTTGAGCATCCTTATATGCAGTGTTTTGAACTGTGCATATGTTAGATTGCTTACTTCTGTTTCATTTGGTTCTTTTCTTGGAGTTTTGTTTTGCTCTTTCATTTGGGACATGTTTCTTTGTCTTCTCATTTTGGCTGCCTCCCTGTGTTTGTTTCTATGTATTAGGTAGAGTTGCTATGTCTCCTAGGCTTCCTAGGGTGGCCTATTGTAGTAAGTGTCCTGTAGGGGCCAGTGGCACAGCCTTCCTGGTCACCCCAGCTGGGCCCTTGAGGTGCACCCCTCATGTGGACTGTCTACCCTTGTGTTGTAATTGAGCCTTGATTGCTGTGGCATGTCAATGGAAGGGATTTACTCAGGCTGATCATCTGCAAGGACTGGCTATGCCCACTGCACTCTGACTATCTTGGAGGATCAGCTGTGCAGGGCCCACCACACAGAGCAAGCCTTACTTCATTAGGGCTCTGGTACCCACTGAATCTGTTCCTTGAGTGTGTCACCTGTGGAAGTGGTTGGACGGTGGTACTTTGACATGGTCTGAAGCTGTCCCGTGCTGTGCTGGCTCTGGGGCAAGGTCAGCCTCTGCCTTTGTTCTACTGGGGACCACTAGGCATTAGCTACAAAGCAGTCTACAAATGGCTGCTACTTGTGCTGGTCTTGGAGGTGCCCATTGAAAGCCAAGCTATGAACCAAGGCTGGCTGCTTCTAGTGCCAGGTCTGGGGCCAGTTAGCTATAGGTATGGGGCTTGTTGAGGCCAGGTGCTGTTTGTTTGAGAGAATTTAGGAAAATCTGAAGCAAGAGCCAAGACAGGCCAATCCTATGGTAAAGCCACTGGAAACAGCTGGCATTCATTTCTTTTCCATACTTTAAAGGTATCATTCTGTTATTTTTCTGCTTCTCTAATTTTTGTTGACATGAAAGCTGTCAATGTTATTGGTTTTCCTTTGAAAATAATGGAATTTTTTCTTTGGGATGTTTTAAAGTTTTTCTCCTTGTCCTTTGGTTTTTATTATTTTAGAATGATGTGCTGAGGAGTGTTTTTCTTCTTTCTTTTCTTTTTTTGCTGCTGCTTGAGGTTTGTAGAGCTTTTTAAATCTGTTGGTTGATGACTTGCATCAGTTTTGCAAAATTCTCAGCCGTTATTGGTTTATACACTGTTTCTATCCTATTCCGTTTCTCCTCTCCTCTGGGACCTCTGTTATACCTCTCTTAACATTTTCATTGTGTCTCATATGCTTGTTAGACTCTTTTTTGGGAGTATTTTTCATGATTTATTTTCCTCTCTGACCTTAGAGAGTATATTTTCTTTTAACTTGTCTTTTATTTACTAATCTTGTCCTCTGTTGTATGTCATCTGCTGTTAAATCCGTCTATTGATATTTTTTTAAATAAAAATTTAATTTTAGAATAGCTTTAGGTTTACAGAAAGGTTGCAAAACTATATATAGAGTTTCGATATAACTCTCATTAGTTTCCCTTATTGTTAACATCTTAACATTAATATGGTGCATTTGTCACATTTAGAGAATCAACACTGGTACATTATTATTAACTCAACTCAACACTTTATTCACATTTTACTAGTTTTCTCTTATACCTTTTTCTTTTCCATAATCTCATTTAGGATACCACATTTCATTTAGTCATTATGTCTCTTTAGTCTCCTCTGGCCTGCAATAGTTTCTCAGATTTTCCTTATTTTTGATGATTTTTAGAGTTTTGAGGAATACTGATAGGGTATTTTTCAAAATGTCCCTCGATTTGAGTTTGTTTGATTTTTTTTTCTTTCTCATGGTTACACTGGGGTTATGGGTCTGTAGGAGGAAGACCACAGGTAAAGTAATGTTCTCAACACATCATATTAGGAATGCTATTAACATGAGCTGTCACTGATGATGTTGACCTTGATTACTTGGTCAGGGTTGTGTTTGTCAAGTTACTCCACTGTAAAGTTGCCTACCACCCTCCTCTTTGTCTTCATTTTTGAAGGAGAGATTTTTCTGGATTACTGAATTCTTGTTTGAAAATTTTTTTTATTCCTTTGATGGTATCATTCCATTGTCCTCAAGTCTTCTTTCTTTCATATGGGAAGTCTGCTGTTTAATTGTATTGTTGCTCCCCTATAAATGATGAGTGTTTTTTTTTGTGCTGCTTTCAAGATTTTCTCCTTACCTTGAAAATTTTATTATTATTATTTTTAATCCTCACCTGAGAATATATAAATATATATATATATATTTATATTTATCTTCAGATAGAGTTGGGAGGGAGGGAAGTGGGGGGAGGGGAGAGAGAGAGAGAAAGAGAAAATCATCGATGTGAGAGAGACACATCGACTGGTTGCCTCCTGCACGACCCCGACCAGGACTGGGGACCGAACTGCAACTGAGGTAGGTGCCCTTGAACCCGTGGCTCACTGGTTCACGGGCCGATGCTCTAACTGCTGAGCCAAACTGGTCAGGGCTTTAATTTATTTTTTATTTTACTTGGAGTTTTTTGATATTCTTGGTTGCATAGATTAATGTTTTTTTCATCAATTTTGGGAAATTTGTGGCCATTATTTTTGTTGAGCTTTTATGTTCATTTTCATTATTTTTTTCCCCCTGAATGCACACACAAGATTTTCTGGATCAGAGATAGAGTTCTTATTAAGAGCATCACAGTAAATAATAAGTGTATTGGTCCTCTTT